ATAAATAAAAACCAAACCATCCAATTCAAGTCAATCCATTCAAATGGACCATATGACATGAAATTACATATCATCCAGAACCTGTTACAACACAGAAACCTGTTTACAAAAAAGTAGACACAGACTTTGAACAGTTTCTATTTGTTCAACAGGTTGGAACAAGTGTATTACATTGGAACAGTGTATTTACATTAAAAATAAAATGGACATTGGATCAATAGTGATGGACTGTTAGGAACTTTGGACTTGCTAGATTTGGTTTGACCATTTCCTGATGTGCTTCCAATATTGTTTTGGCGTTCCCATGTGCAAACCCGTGCCTATAAAAACAAAGTAATATACAAAATGATTTTAAAAAATATTGACCAATACATCATCGTTAACAAATGTGTACTCAAATATTGAACACGTACCGGTACAGACATGTTGTCTTCTGTGCTCACCATAAAGGAAAATAGTAAGCCTTCATCGTGGGGCACCTTGATGATTATATAGTAAGACAATGTTAATAATAATTTGAAGCGATTAAACATAAAACCCAACAAGAAGCAAAGTACAATATTTTAAGTCCATTCAACACATACCGGAACATACATACTATCTTGTGTGCCAAACCATAGGAAGGAAAATAGTAAGCTTGTATACTCTCTCTATGGTTGGCCACACCAAGGATGGCACCATGATTATGATAATGTGTAGTCCAACACAATTTCATTACTATTGTACCAGTTCAACATGATAATCGACCAGAACGAAGGTTACGAAAAACAACCGAGATGGCCCAAGTATTACCTGTGCGGAGTATGTTGTTAGGACGCGCCCGGGTGAGGCCTTCGCTACAGATCGGACTCGAATTTGTGTCACGGTTCTTACTTGAACCAAAGGAGTCCAAATCCGACAAATCTGTTTTGAGAAACAGATTTTTTTGAAAAGACAGTGCCTAAACATGGATTGCTTTGCCAGATTACAGAGTCGCACCTAAATATTTTTTATGAGGGAATTTAGGAAACCCTGACTCGGATGCAAAGGCCACGTATCCGTCATCACCAAAGTTGCCTGGCTCGAGGAACTTGGGTTACGATCGGGAAGGTCAGGCTATGACACCCCCTCCGCCCGATCGAGATCGGCCTCTACTAACCGTGATATCGTTTTGAAAACGTCTATGTGTTCTTAATTGGTTATTAGCCTAGAAATTACTAATATTGTGCGCACAACAAACAAGTATATGACCAAATCGCCCTAAAATTGGAAAAAAAACATTTCATGCTCTTGTTTTTGGAAAAAAATGTTTGCTACTCGTAAGTAGGCTTAAAATGTAGGTTTTTGCCACCCTCGAGTGGAGCTTTTAAGAAAAGATGGTTTTTTGCCACTATCTGTGGGTTAAACTCACAGTTTTTAATGAATTATCCCATTTAAGCAATTCGACCTTCATCCCAGCATTCAAACAGTTTATCACGTAAAAGCATCTGCCACATGGAAGCATGCTGTCCATGATAGTACACACGCATCGAGATGCCTTTAAGCATTAAATACTTACATCGTACTCCGTGCCAAAACAATTAAACTAGTTAGCAAAACATGCGTGATCCTAGTTCATGCCAAATGTTTGACTAATGCAAAACATGCAGATGCAATTAGAGTAGGCTCGGCTAACCTTAAACATAGGCATGTGAAATGCCAACCAATTAATGCACGTATTTCAATTGGAATTAAAAATACAAATGCAGTTAGCATGATGCGCCGAGCCCGGTGCATGCATAGACAAATGTATGGATGCACGTGCAACATTAACATAAGTATGCTAATTTAAACATGCCCTAATCTACCATCATAAGCAGGTAAATAAAAGGGGAAGAAAGAAGTGGGTTGAAGACATTCACACACTCACCCACACTTATTTACAAAATTTACCCGTCACTCGGAGGGACCAAAAGGAAAATTACAGATAATTAAACCTACAGCTAATTAATTATTACAAATGCCTAATTAGGCTGACAAATTAACTAGGCTAGAAAAACAATTAAAACCGCCCGAGAGGAGAGCTCGATGCAATGCGTGCTCGGGTCTTCTCGGAAGTGCACCGCCAATGCATAGGCTACCTCTGTTTTCCTTTCTTTTACTCCTGCTGGAGGCTGCCAAAACCTCAGGATTGCTTCTCTGGATATGGGGAATGCCCATCGGCTGGGTAGAATGCTCACCGGCACAGTGGCATGTGATCACCGGCCATTGGTGAAGATATCGGCATGAAGGGGGGCGATTGCCGCGTCAGCACTTATCACTGCCGGTCAGCAGAAAGTTTTTTTCCCTGGGGCAAAAAAGGGAAAAAAAAAATCTGCAATGACAGCAACAGAGGGCAGGCAGAGCATGGGCAAATACAAATTCAAGGATTAGTATGCACCGTTCATGTTCCCTTATCCATGTTTAATGACTCAAAGGGACATGGCTCCTGTCTCGGACATCAAATCGCGCATTCCATGCGGTGATGGCCAAGAGACCAAGTTATTGCATTTTCATGTCAAATACAATTGCAAACAATCAAACCAATGGGACTTAACCTCTATCATGGATTAGTCAAGAGGGCCAAGCATTTGCAGCCAATGCCAATGCAACCTAAGCATGTTAAACTAGGCATGCAATACGCAATGCAAATGAGCATGCAAGAAATTTGCAAGGATAGAGCAATGCGACTAACAAGTGTGCAAGGCTAATTGTAGGCATTCAAGCATTGTTAACGTCAACAATGGATTCATTCAACATGTTTTGATTTTTCAAACATGCAACAACTCACCAATTGCATACAATATACAAGGAGAGCATTGCAACAAACAAAGAGATGGAACTTAAACCACTGATTTGCGGCAGCTCTTAATAGGCCCAAAACAAGTGGCCATTAATGCCTATGAATAAGGGCTAAATGACATGCAAACAGGCATGCAAATATGGTCCAATTCGTAAGGCCTACCAAAGAAATATTGAACTACACTTAGTGCAACCACACATGGCATGAATTAAATGACTAAAAACAGAATTTTAGCATATTAAAACAAGGCCTAAAGATCACTTAGATGGCATCCAAATGACTTAAATTCAAAGGCATGCACAAATGCCAAAACATGGAACATGCTACACAAGCTTTCAAAGCATTAAGGAAACATTCAAGGCAAACATACAAGCATGCTAAAAGGTCTGAAATGACATGGTGGATAGTTCCAAACCACTAAATCAATGCAAGAATGTCATGCTATACACTCATACACTTAAGGCCAACAAGCCGGAATGCAAAGGAGCTATACTAAGCATGCCAAATCCGACCCAAACAACCTAGGACAGACCTTAAACATGGCAAGATGAGCACAAAACCTTCACAAGACTAAGCCTAAAACATGCTAGAACAAAGGCTAACAACCTAAGGCATATTAAGGCAATAACATGGCATTACATGGTAGGTATGCTAAGCATGCATGGTGTACCAAAACCAACACACAACAAGGTTATATCATGGCATAATAAGCATGGAAAACAGCCAAGATATGATCAATACACACTCTAACATGATGCTCTCTCAAGAGGCCAAAAAGGGTCCATTTCAAGGACAACAAGGAGAGGGGGTGGCTCTCCCCTTTTGGAGACTTCAAGGCACCATCTCCACCACTGAAATCCCTCAAGATTTTAGTGGTGAAGAGGCCCAAACACCAAAGTCTCGAAACTCACTCAAAATGGCTCAAAATGGGGCCTTTCAAGGCCTAAGAGGGGTCAAACACCTCCAAACCACAAAACACTCTTAATAAACAATCAAGAGGGTTAAAAAACAGAACTTTTTTGTATTATGCACCAAGCTCAAAAACGATTTTAAGACAGGTAAAAATACAATGCGAAAATGGGGAATAAATGGGCTAGTTTCTTACCCTTGTTGACTTTCTTCAAAGATGAAGCTCCAACAGCTCCTCCAAGCTTGAAACCACTCAAGAACCTCAAGAACAACCTCTTGGAAACTCATAAACTAAGGGAAGGTGAAACACTATGTGTTTGTGTGCAATAGTATGGACTAAAACCACCTAGACACACACAAGAGAAAAGAGAGATAGAATGTGTATCTAACCCTAACCCTAAAACCAGAGCTTCTCTCTGTGTTTTTCTCCCCAAAAATGTAAAAAGTCTCTAACCCTAAACAAGAGAGAGAAGGGCTCCTCTTATAGAAATCC